CCTGGAGCCGTGAAGGAGCGGGTATGGCAAAGAACTACTGATTAGCATAACATCAATATCCGTTATAAAACCAGGAAAAGGTGGGCATGGATGGTGAACTGATTTGGTGGTGCAATGGGCCACTTGACTGGTTTTGCCCTCCAGGCCTAAGGCTGCCAGCCCTCCCCTGGTTGGACATGCCTTGCAGCTAAGGGAGTTTGTTCAGCCCAGTTTACCTAGCCTTCTTTATTTCAGACTAATCCCTAATAACAAAGACAGGCATCATTAAGAAGCAGCACAAGAGAGGTACCAGACAGCAGAGCCTGCTCTGTCTAATCACACGGATAAGACTTCCTCTCTTCTCCCCCTGTTAGGATGTTGCAAGTGAAGAGATCTTCCAACTGCACATGTGTAAGCCTGTCAGGCATGCCCAATGCACTTTATAAGCATTCCTGGGGATAGGACACTGATTGGTTAGATCATTGTCCCACTTGTTTTACAGAGGGGTGTGTATGACACAGTGCTTTAAAACAAATGAGGTGATTTACAGGCTGCTCCGTATACTTATGTGGAAATATCCTCTATTCCACAGAACAAGATGAAGATTATTGGTGTGGTTTAAGCTATAAACAAACTTATACCGATAAGTGGAGCGCTCCAACACAAATACAGCTTACCGAATAATATTTCATTCAGTGGCGAAATATATAGTACATGTAGAAAAAACAAGGAATACAATATAGTGCAGACGGTATGGGAAGTGATAATGTAACAATTGTAATGGTGTTTAAATAAAATGAACACTCACATTCTTAGGAGCCTGTATATAAAACACACTGGCTCCGTATGATGGCTTTTGTGCTTATTAGGGTAGCACCACCCGTCTCCTTCGGTGTGGGATAATTCTCAAAGAAAAAAAACAACAAGGGAGAGCAAACCAATGTGTAGAAAGTGCTGTATGGAAAACACAATATGATGGAGATAAATGGTGTGCTCATCTGGTCCTGAGCCTGTGGGTTCCGGCTCTAGGTATATAGGTTTTGTGTCAATTTAAATGGGGATGACACTGCCCCTAGGAAGATTCTCTTGAGGTTTCCAAAGAAGGACTAAAAAAGGATCTTTAATACAAAATAATGTATTTATTTAAGAATAAAATAAATAAAAACAATAGTAATAAAAAGTCCTTATAAAAAGTCCTCTTTAAAGTAGCCAATACGCGTTTCACTCCTTCTGTGGAGCTTCTGTGATGGTGGTCCTCTGAATCTTCCATTTTAAGTGTTTCTAGGGTCCTCCCCTTTAATGGGTGTAGTCCATTTCCTCCAATGGTGATGGAGGTTACATGTCCCTCTTAAAACAAAATTTGTGTGTCTCCCTTTAATTTGGCCGGGTTTCTGGCACCTTTATTATGGTCCATTTTCATTGGTGGATCGTGGTTGGTTGGCGGAAGTAGTCCGCATGTGTCCGGGCGGTTGGCGGAAGTGACGTCACGGACCCACGTGACCGTCACTCCGCTTCCGCCCGGAGGTTCCCTGACTCCCAGGCCTTACCGCACGTCATCTCTGCGTGTAGGCCGGGGGGAGGGAACTGTAGAGCATGGAGACATAATGTGTAGTCACTCCGGCTTACCACGCCCTTAGGGCGTGCCGGAGTGGCCGTGAACTACTCCCCCCGGTACTGTTCCCATGTACTCTTTTTATTGTTCGTGTTCCTACATGCTAAACAAGTGCCGCATCCACATCCAAGTGCCGCATCCAAAAAAAACTTTTTTATGCTACCTGCATAATAGCGACCCCACATTCCTGAAATTCATGGGCTTACAGAGAGTAAAAGGCAACTGGCGAGGAGGGGATTTCTTGAAATTACTGGGACAAAATGAGATGAAATGGATATTCAACCTTGGAACTTTAAGACCCCAAGGTTTGAATATAGATTTTGAACTTTGCCACTTCATCTAAACTATCATATATATACACACACACATTTTAATATACACATTCCAATTACCACATTATACTTACCATTTTTTTTTCCCCATGTCTATCCTTTTTCCTATTTTCATTATTTATTATTATTATTTTTTTTTTATTATCTGTTTAAAGTCCCATTATTCATTACATTTAATTTTTTATCATTTTTTTCATTCATTTTTTATTCATTTTTTATCTATACATTAATGTTATTTTCTATACATATTTCTATTTAATGGTGCCATATGAGCCATTTTATACCTTCTTAGCGATCTTTTTATGAATACCATTCAAAATTCTTAATAAATATCACTATGATACACAATTAATTAATATTACTTTAAGAAAAAAATCACCATTTTAAGCACTTAGCACTTTAAGGCATTCACCAATCACCAATAACCTTAAAATCACAGTGGGTTGATAAATACCACAACAAGACAGTAAATATGTCTTCAGTCTAATATTCACTCTGTACAATAATTGCACTTTATCAGTACAGTAATGTCTTCATTTAAGCTCCCCCCAACCGGACCAGTACTAGACATCTGTAGTACATGGGAACAGTACCGGGGGGAGTAGTTCACGGCCACTCCGGCACGCCCTAAGAGCGTGGTAAGCCGGAGTGACTACACATTATGTCTCCATGCTCTACAGTTCCCTCCCCCTGGCCTACACGCAGAGATGATGTGCGGTAAGGCCGGGGAGTCAGGGAACCTCCGGGTGGAAGCGGAGTGACGGTCACGTGGGTCCGTGACGTCACTTCCGCCAACCGCTCAGACACATGCGGACTACTTCCACCAACCAACCACGATCCACCAATGAAAATGGACCATAATAAAGGCGCCAGAAACCTGGCCAAATTAAAGGGAGACACAAAAATTTTGTTTTAAGAGGGACATGTAACCTCCATCACCATTGGAGGAAATGGACTACACCCATTAAAGGGGAGGACCCTAGAAACACTTAAAATGGAAGATTCAGAGGACCACCATCACAGCTGACTGAGGAAGCTCCACAGAAGGAGTGAAACGTGTATTGGCTACTTTAAAAAGGACTTTTTATTACTATTGTTTTTATTTATTATATTCTTAAATAAATACATTATTTTTTATTAAAGATCCTTTTTTAGTCCTTCTTTGGAAACCTCAAGAGAATCTTCCTAGGGGCAGTGTCATCCCCATTTAAATTGACACAAAACCTATATACCTAGAGCCGGGACCCACAGGCTCAGGACCAGGTGAGCACACCATTTATCTCCATCATATTGTGTTTTCCATACAGCACTTTCTACACATTGGTTTGCTCTCCCTTGTTGT